GAAACATTTTCTTTTATCTTAAACACTCTAATCATTTTTGGGACTTTATAACTTATATATATAATGTTATCTAATACCGGAGAAATCATGGTATTTAAAATTCTACAAATTATATAATTTTATAAGTAATTTTTAATGAATTTCCAGATTTTTTGCATCGTTTTAGGTGATGCCATTAATAATTCTTTCCCAGTTGATGTTAAAGAAGGTACGACCTTTGGGCATCTCAAGGAAATCATTAAAAAGAAGAAGGAGCCCGGTTTAAACCATATAATCGCGGATGAACTGAAGCTATGGAGTGTGAATATTCCTGTCGAAGATGAAGATCTGGAAACCAAAATATACGCCGAAAATATCAAAGAACAATACCAAGGTATAATGTTATCTCCAGTCAAAACTGTTGGGGACTATTTTCACGAATCCACTAGTAACATCCGTATCATCGTCCAACCACCACTGCCCGCCACCACTGGTAAGTGTCTTTATCACTCGATATCTTTTTATAGCTTAAGTCTGCGATCGACAATGTCAGGCGGGTCTCAAGTGTTTTATTTCTTTTTATTTCACTGCATTAGTTTCGTCGATACACATCCCTTCTGACGAAGTTAAAATTGAAATTAAAAACAAAGGTTCGTTGCACTAGAAGTTTAGTTCTTTTAAATGAGTTTTCGCTCACGTCCACTCTTATTTTTTTAGTTATAAGGACCTTCCCAAACGTAGATGAATCTTCAATTGACAAGCTTGTTTATGCGCTCGCTTTGATCTGGGACATTAAGACAGAGAAAAATGACTCTCCGGGCCCACAAAACGACCCGTATGTTAAACTGAAGGAGGAGCCCTCTTTTTTCAAAGCACGATTACCTCGAGGTATAACCAAACAAACTCTCACAACAGTTGATTTGTGTCTCCCTTCATATGAATCCGGAACAGTGAATTATCATAATCCCTTTTACGATGATCCGCAATTCAAAGAAGCAGTTTCTTTTGTGAAAGAAAAGATCGAAAATAATATTGGAGACTTAATCGTGCTTGCCGGAGTTTCGGGTGGTGGAAAAACAACGACAACGTTTGGAATAGCTATACAACGTTGGTCAATATATATTGATTTTTCTCCTAGCGCAGGAACGTATGGCGACCATGTAGGGAGAGAGCTTGAAACAACCATATATGAACGACCAAAGTTTGAACAGCATGATAAGCAAAGGCATGTATTTCGTATGCTGGACTGGGTAATACTCTCACGCGGACTTTTACTTATAAAGATGCTTATCGAGAAAAATATTTTGACGCCAAAAGAATGGCTGTTTGCACAGCTTCGAATGAATGACTATAGGATACGAACGAAATTGACTCACGAAAATTATGATATCATTGATGCTAATGAACTTATTGAAAGTATCAATGCTTGTCTCAATGTAGAGTCTCTAACCTTAATATTTGATGAGGCGCAAGTCCTATGTAGATCCAAATATGGAGAATACAAAGGGAGCTCAGTTCCAAACAAAAAACGGAATCTCTTGCAGGCTTACATTGAACATCTTACCCATCTTCCCGTTACCTGTCTTCTTGCCGGTACTTACATGCATATGTCAAGTGGAATTTTTCTTGTTACTAGTGTTGGAAAAATACGAGGTTTGAAGGATCATATTGTGCTAAAGCTTCCCTTCCTTTCACATAATGATGTCCTGCGGAATCTCAATGCTGTAATTGACCTGACAGATGTTTCACCCAAAATTCTTAACTTCTTGGGATGTCTTCTCAGGGGACGACCTCGAAATTGTGCATCATTTGTTGGGCTGTTAATATCAGAGCGGATTTCAGTTAATAAGACGAAAGATCAAAAAAACCAAGAAATTATTGAACTTCTTGAGAAGTGGTATAAAATGATTCGAATGGACATGGCAGAATATTTGGAAAATGCGTGTAAATATTTGGATGCTAATAATCTCAATCCATATAGAGCAATTATAGATATTCTTAGGCTTCGTGTTTTTTATAATCAAAAGTACGAATCAGCCATAAAGCTACTTCAACACAGCATCATTCCTTGCAAGTCACCAGAATGTATCACTCTTAGATCTAGTAAACCTACTCCTGATATAATTGAAATCAACACATCACTTGAATCTTACCTCGTCTCTAGCATAGAACTTTTTCTTAAAAACACAAGAAGAAAAACTTTGGTAGAAGTTTTTATTAATGAAATTATCAGGGTCGATGGAATTCCATCAATTGGGAATGAATTCGATTCAATCTTTATTACAGCAATCATTCAAAAACGTGGGCTTAATGCGCGAGAGGAACTTGACAGGTGGAAAAATGGCCAACAATTTGATCTTCCTTCATGGATCAATCCCACGATGAAATTTGTAACAATTTCAAATCTATCAAGAGCAGTTCCTATAGCCAAATATGTTGAAGATGAAACCTATCGTTATTATGCAATCCAACCAGACACCTATTCAGGGTCGGACTTGATAATTTCTCTTGTGGATGATAAGCAAAATGTAGTACTGTTATCAGCAAGCTGTACAGTTTCCGGAAGTCCTATTGAGCGAGACAAGGTTAAA